CGGACTTTTCCACTTGGCCGGGGTAAGCTCAGCACTGCCAAGGAATTCCTAAAAATAACAACACGCTATTTTCGGTACAACAAAGTTATTAGTTAAAAACAATATATATGTGTAAACAAGATTTCTAGTATATTTTTACAACATGTATCTACTTTCTTCGTATGAGCTGTGGAGGAGAAAGCAATCTAATAGCTCCCTTTCCAGAGAGGTGAAACCCCCCAGTGAAATGTACAATAGATAAGTGTTCGTGAGGTGAAACCCCTCAAGGATACTACGTTTGCAGGTGGTGTTGATCCTACGGGCAAGTATACCTATCGACAACACACAGGCTGCTTAACATTTTTTAGATTTTCATCGCCTTATATACAATTCGTTAGAATGTTATTTAATAAAAACAAATTATTACCCTAAACAGTTTCCTTAAAGCTATGTGTGTGTATGTATATGCATGTTCATATGATTTCAGGTTTGAATATGTTTCTCTTTGTGCAAGCAAAGCGAATACGCATAAAGTGAAATTCATAAAATGTCTACGTATGTACATATGTATGTATGTATTTACACGTTAAATGTGCACTTAAACTTAAAAATATCTTATTATTTATATTTACAAGTATGTATGTATGTACATATTATAAAGTTATAGTTGCTTTTATATTCATACATATTTTACTATTTTCTTGTAAGGGCTCACACATATACGATTTTGGGGTCCTTACAAGGCGGGTATGCGTTGACAGTAGAATTCAAGAATAGATCATCCGAAATAAAAAAATATATGGTGTTTTTGTTAACACAATAAACTTGATTTTGGGCGAAGAAAAAAATTAAAATCGATTTTTGGAAGTTGTGAAACCTATGCAAACCTATGAAGTCATATATAACATGTGTACTAGTAATCTATTTAACGATAAACAAAAAAGTTATGGCAAAAATACAATAGTTTTTCTTTATTTGTAATATACCAAAACGTCAGTTACAAAACAAGGGCGAGTTTCAAATCGTCAGTTGCAAAGCAACCATACATTGTCACACAATCGCCTTTAGGATTGTGGAAATTTTGACGATTTATCATGTTCCAAAATATATCGGTAAAATTATTGATGCACAAACAGAATCAAACTGCGCTGACGTCGGAGGGCAAGGTTTTATGCGCTAATTTTTTTTAATATCATATTACCTATTTTTTTTATCTGGAGCGTAATCCTTGCATAACTTTAGACGCTGGCTAATTGCTTTTTTTGTTATTTGAGTTTTTGCTCTCTTGCATGTTGCTACTATCTACCAGGCTTCGTTGATACGCTGAATACGGTATATGATACAAAATGGATTTCTACTCTGTATCTACAAAGCAGATGTTGGTAAAAGAGGAAACTGTTTTCAGTAAAGGTGATGGTATTTTGGAACTTTCGGCTTACAACGTTATCCAATAAAAGGTGTTATTTTGATATTCAAAGAATTGATCGGAAGTGTATTTCAATATGGAAACAATATCAGCTGAACGGCCGCCACGGTCACGCTGACATGACAGTATCCTTTTTATGAAGTTTTCAATCACCAAATCGCCGTGGTTGTTGTATGACCTCAATAGATTCACGAATTTAATCTTTAAGGTCTTGAATGGACGTTGGTTCTTTAGCTAGATCTCATTTTTCACGTGGCTCTAAAGTAAGAAGTCGCAAGGTGTTAAAATAAAATATCTCGGTGGCCAATTGCGATCACCTCTTTGAGAGATAACAAGGTCCGGAAACTTTCCTTTAAAAGAACGATGGTTTCGTTGCCTATGTGTAGAGGTGACTTGGTGGAAGTTTAAGTTGTCCAGATCAATATCATCCACCAACAGTTACCCCTTGAGGCATTTAAAAAATATCTCTTGCGTTTCCCGAGCCCAAGATAATTTTCGATGAAATTCCGGATAATTTTAATGCATTTAAAGCTCACAAACCGGCAAAGATGACCTTGTTAATGGGCCATCTTGACTTCCTGAATTAACTAAACTTTTATACAAAATACCTTGTAATGACGTTTGCGGATTGCCCAACTCTAAAGAGCTACAATGAATGGGCAAACCTATTCTCATCTGTTCTTGAGCGATGCGCACGTGTTTTGTTTTTCACATTTGCCCCACCAGCTCCACATGAGTCTAATAAAAATAACACCTCTTATTGGAAAGCCTTTTACCTCTCAGGTAACTTTTTAGCGTTTAAAGAAACACGTTATATAAGAAAAAGTGATAAGCAAGAGAGAGTAATCGACTTTGCAGCAAATATACGACAAAAGTCTTATTTCAAAAGCATTTAAGGCTCGATGGTGAGGTTTAAGCTAGGTTTTGAAATGAACAAATGGTACATAGTATCTAAACCTTTTATGGAATAACTGAATTTAAGTAAATAGTGCCAGTATCTGTGAAGTGGACATCAAAACTTAGTTATAGCGTCATACTTCCTAAATTCGTAACAATATATTGTAGTATCATAATGTAATCGTGGCACATGTTGCATAGTATATACAAAATTAGGAGCAAAAGAGAGTGTACTGTAAAGAAAATCTTTAACTTTTTTTATTAGCTACTCTCACAACCAAGTTAAAGAATCAATAATCTAAAAATTTTCATGTAACAACTCGAGCTGCAAATACATACAGCCTTGGCCAAAAGTATTAGGCACCCCACTAATTACTGAATTTTTTGTTTTAACAAGTGAAGTAATGCAGTTTTAATAGTAAAACAGTAAAAATACAATGAATTAGTCATAATAACATTATTATTTAGTAGGTCCTTTCGAATTAATAACGGCAGCAATTCTCTTAGGCATGCTGCATACAAGCTTTGCACCTTCCTCCGCACTTGTAGCGTACTACTCGGCACGACATTCTTTAAGGCAGTTTTTGATGTTATACTGTATTCCTTAATCTTGCTTTTTAAAATAAATGGGATTAAGATCTGGGGACTGTGCAGGCGAATCTAACAAAATAATGTGGTTATCTCTAAACCAACGCATCGTAGTCGCTGATTTGTGCCAAGTAGCATTGTTTTGCTGAAGTTGAACCCCGTCTAAATTAGTATCGCCGAAAATGCGCGTTAACGAAGACAGAAGAACAGCTTCTAGTATTGTACATTTATATACTTCTGACCGTCCATGCGGCCCTCGCGAACGAATACATCGCCGACACCATCAGCAGGCATGCAGCCCCAGATCAAAATGCTGCCTCCTCCATGCTTAACAGTGGATGATATTCTTCCCCAACCCGTCGCCTCACGAACGTCACACCAGGTATTCCAAATATCTGTTGAAAAGAAAAAATAATGTTTTCATAAAACTTGTATTATGTCTTCAAAAATTTTCTAGGGTAAGAAGTTATGGCTATAAATACTTTAATACGATTTTGACTAAGCTTACCTCGAAGTCTGTTTCATCAGACCACAGAACATTCGACCAATATCTGTGAAATGTTGGTATCGGCGAGCCCATTCCAAACGATGTTTCCTTTGCTTTTCTGAGAGCCACGACTTCTTTCCGTCTTTAAATCATTTTAAACCTGCTTCCTAGCTGTTTACTAAATTCACCCGATAGGGCAGCTGTAATGGCAGAAGATTTTTTGCGATCCTTGAGAGAGTCGCGTATAAGTATTCGGTCTTCTCGTTTACCTGTTAGACGCTTTCTTCCACTTTTTGATTTATTATTGTGGGATCTCGTCTCCACAAATCGCCCGATAGCACATCGGACCACGAACCGCGAACATCCCACCAAATTGGCAATCTTACTCTGAGACATACCTTCTCCACTTAGAACTTGAATTCTAACTCTATCATAGTAACTAATTTCACTTTTTTAGGCATTTTGGTAAATATGAACTGTTTTTAAAAAATTGGTAACTTTTCACTAAATGTAATTTTCACTTTCAAATTTTATTTATTTTATAATATTTTATGAATTTATTAAAAATGAAAATTTTTAGGTTTAGTTTACACAGAGTGTTATGAGTTTTATTATTACACAACTTATTTGTTTAATGAACAGCTAAACACCCAAGTAAGACATTTACAAAAAGAAGTGGAAACTTTGATAGCTACATTTGAGAATACTTGTATTTTAGTTGGGTGCCTAATACTTTTGGCCAAGGCTGTATGTTCGTAGCAATCAATGTAAACTCTACCCACAGCCATCAAATCCTTAATTCGATTGAGATTTTCAGTGAAGACACCAAAGTAACGAGAAAATCTAAGAAGTGCACTAAGCACTTTGAAAAGTGTTGTATAATTTGTTCAGGAAATCCAAGCAAATCATAAATAAAGTGTGTATAAAATGCGCAATAAATTTGGAATTGATATTAATGATCTAATTTAATATTTTTAAAAGACAAATTTTGCATATGTATTAAAAATTTATTGGAACATAAAAAATAATTGTTTATTATTTTCGCAGCATATATAAAATAATAATAATAATAATAATAATAATACACCAAAAGTGAATATTAAATATTTTACGGTGATTAGTTCATGTAAGGCAAAAATATGTATAAATATATATAGATATGTATTTTTACATCAATTGTTGCTGCAAAGCAATTAGGGGTATTCTAGTTACCTAAATAAAGTTTTGTAACCTAATAAAATTATTTTATGGTTTTTAATAATTAGTGTGTATAATATTTAGCGATAATAAAACTGCGATTCCCTATACTATTTATATAAAAAATACGCATAAGAACAAAAATGTAGTGGGTGCAGTATTTTATTGTACCCATTTGATCAAACACACTGTTTGTTAAAACAATGCTTTGATAGGTGATATGCTTACTTTACTCATTACAGTTTTTTTTGTATACTGTATGCAGCTTTCTTTTCAAACATCTCTTCCACACATTTTGATCTTTTAAAGCAAAAGACAGTGAGCTAAAAAAGAGCGAATGTCTTGTACTGCTTTCAAATCAATTCACCTCTAATTCTTACTTGTGACTTGCCCGTCGTTCTTTTCAAATATATACCAAATGTGCAATTAATTTTTATATATTACTGTAGTCAGGGTTTATTTCTTTTAATTATTTAGTAATATGAACAATAAGAAATTTAGTCTAAAGCCCTGTGTACTTTATTTCCATCTTCTTATTGACTGTTGTTCCTTTTCCCTTTGATAACAGTTGGTCTACCTTTTATGTATCCCTTACGGCGTTTGGAATTCTGCAAGACGTAGGTTGCATAAATGATAATGATATACAATTAAAGAGTAACGCACCTTTCTGGGTATATAGTTAGTCGGTGATAACGTTCTTTCACCAAGTTTTAATGAAGGCCGATTGAACTCAGACGGTTTTTTTACTCGATAAATTCGTACCAACCAATGTTCTGTCGTGTATGCTTCTTCAAGATAAGAAAGTTCGAAGTCCTTATTTCCAATTATTGCATTTCTTGTTCTGTCATACCCAGCTGGACCTCTGAAATAAAACGTTAATAATTAGCTATACTACTTTTTTCAAGTTATTTTCACAATAATGATTGCATTGATAGTAGATAAAGGCTAAACATTTGTCCTGCCAAAGACAGTTACGTTAAGTGACAATCATCCATCATCATCATCATCCATCACTCCACTATTCTTCCATTTAAATTAGATACGACCTACTCCGCCTTAAGACTCACTAGGAGTAGACATGCGTGACATGGCTTCATGCTGCCAGCACTCAACTGCCTCGCAACCCTCTATCTGCTAGACTAGAATGCCAAAGATCGTGTTGCGCGTCCAAAACCAAAAAGTTTTCGCCTCTGCGTAACGCACTTATATTAGGACGGTATCCAACTGAGAAACAAGTGGCTAGAGAGGTTCATATATTAAATATTAGGAACGCTAAAAGAGCAAGAGATTGAACATTTTTTGAATATGTTAATTCAAATGATTCACTGCTAATGCTTATATACATGTATTATTGCTATTCATCTCAAAGTGCTAAATAGTTAATGTTAAATGCATTTCATTTCTCCTGTAAATATGTTTGGATATTTAAAATCAGCAATGAATGTTATTATATTATAAGAGGGTGAGTGCGCTAGAATCATTGTACTGCGACAGTAGTGACCAAAGCAGTCAACAGGCGTAATCATTTATGGCGTTTCGCTTGATTAATGTGACTCTATTGCCTTTCTGTTCAATTTTGCGTATAAGCAAAGCAAACAAAAGCCAACAACAAAAAAAGGCCAGCTCTTATTATAGTCAAGCTTAATTCTCTGTATGACTAGCTTTTATAAAATCAAGTCAAGCAACCTTGTTACCAAAACTACGATACCACAAAAAGTTTAATGTTTTCCACTGCTGGTAGTTTAACTTATTATATTCTTTAGATTTGTCTTCAAAATGGTTTTCTACAGCTTCTTTCATCTCAGTGACGTATGAAAATCTTCGTCCCCGCAACTTATTTTTTAAATGGAATGACCTATCCCACTGTAAATCCAGTAGCTTTTAATGCGCCCCTCGCAGCTCGAACGGTGTGAGCGCTCGCCTTGTCTTTAAGAAACAGCACTCCGAGCGCGAATTTGCTACGTCTCACCTGTACGACTACCTAACGCGTCTCATTCAACAAATAGGCATAGTTCACTTTGGCAATTATCGATATCCCAGAAAATAATAGCCATTCTCTTCGACGCCGACTTTTCCACTTTGAATTTGGTTTATCCACTGCATCGACTGTTACAATGCGGTTGCAAGTTTCATCCACAACATCTCGGCACAAGTTGTGCTTACCCGTTTGACATGCAATCACTTCATCTATTTTTACAAATTATTGGAAGTTTGCCAGTGTTTAAAGGCAACTCCCTAAGGACTTTAGTCCCTATGTACAAAAGGTACAGAATTTGGTCGAATGAGATATATACCGAAGAAGAGCGGCAGGCATATGCAAACCTCAAAGAAAAGTCAAATTGTTAATAAATAACTCAAAAATGGAGGCTGCTGAGTCAAATTCAACACATGAAGTTCGCTGCAATACAAGTAGTGGCAGCTAATTTAGAATTAGGGCTAAGCAGAGCAGTACTGCCAGCTGCCACTGCTGTATTGTATTTTGCGATTGACTTTGACGGTCTCGTTTGTTTTCTTTTTTTTGTTGGTGCTGTCCGGCGTCAATATAAATTTCAATAAATTGAATGGATTCTATTTTTGAATAATTATTCATTGGCAAAAGTTCAATGCTCTGTAATTCATTATATATTAAAATTTTGTACAATGAAAAGACTTTGTGGCAAGCTGTACTTATATTTCTTTTAGCATTAGTATTTATTCACGGATCTGCCGCGAAATGGATCGGAAGGCTAACAATAAGTAATAAATTCTTAAGCTAAGCTAAAACATAAAGCCTATTGGGTTGATGATGCTTTTTAGAAAGCTGGTTTGGCTATATTCGGGCGTATTAATCGTTCGGATAATTGTACAGTTTGGTTACGTATATTTGTGCTTCGATTCCAATCTCTGACTTGATGCTGAGTACATTCAGATCTCCACGGACGTTTTCATTACGCATATACCATGATGCGCTCGTTATTACTCTTAACATTTTCGATCGGAGCCTTTGGATTATATCTATATTCCGAGGTATGTAATTTCCTTAGCTGTGGAATGGGTACATTGTTGAACTTGACAGTTGCGCATGTTTTTAGCGTTAATGTAAAAGTTATGTGTTTTCATTTATTTTTAATATATATTCGTCAATTAGTTGAAGGTGCTATACTTTTGTGGATGTAATGGAGCTTTTTTGACTACTTATTATAAAGGGGGACCCGAAATTAACCAAAGACTAGAATTACAGTGAAATCACAGATTTTAGTCTTTCGATTGTACTGTTTTATTGAATTATGAAGTACATTTGTAGAATAAGACACATTTGTTTGTCGAAGCTTTCCATGACTATTCTGCACAAATGCAGACGGCAAATGTAGCAAATGCTAGAAATGTCTGACTTTCGGATGACAAAGGCTATGTATACTTGGCGCCGAAAGGATCTTCAATCAGTAATTGCCGAGGGACAACCGGTCTATAACGGATCCTGTCTTTCGGGACCAGGGACTGGCCTCTTCTCAAAAAATGTACGCGTTTTGAGAGTTAAGTAAGGATTACAATTCCATAAAAACCGTATTTTTGAAATTATTCTACAACTTTACCACCCCCTTCGAAGTAGCTCCCTTGGGCAGCTGTACAACGATTCCAACGCGTTTCCTATGCTTCGTAACATTTCTGGAACGCTTCGACTGGGATGTCCGCGAGTGCTTTCGTCACGGCCGCCTGAATGTCCTCAATCACTGGTTTTGTTCTAGGGAACAAAAAAAGGCACAGGGAGATATATCCGGCGAAATTTTAGCGTACGTTTCCGAAGGTGTTTCGCCCAATTTAACGCAAAATTTTATCACGACGCGTTGTTCTTGATTTCGTTTTTCGATTTTCGCACTACGAACACACGTTTATTCAACACGATAGATAGAGCGATGTCAAATATATCAATGGAGACAAGGATGTCTGGAAAAGGGAATTTCAAGGTCGCAGGGTTACCACCATCGCGGCTATATAATCAGTCTTATTACTTATTGTCACACCTCGTATTTATGAAGCGATGCTGAGTACAGCTAGAATATATATATATATATTATAAAGAGACTTGAATTTTTTAAACACGTAGTGTTTTATAGGGTTTGAAGTGAAACTGTTACATAATAATAGCGGTTTGTATAGAATAACAGCATGCCTGCGAGAGCCTGTAAGATTTTCCCCGAATTGGTTTCATTCTGGTATATTCTGTTGCGGGAACTTTTGGATTGATGATTAGGATGTCCCCTAACTAGGTGAACGAGTGGCTACAACCCTGGGCAGATGTTTCAATATAGTGCCCTCTGCAACGTCGCTCGGACGGCGTTAGCTTCCATTGAACAATCCACGTCTGAGACACAATTTTCAGTCCAGGCTGATGCCGAAATGAGACGATTCTAAGTCGATCGTATATGATTAATACACGGCAACTGGTAGAAGTTAGGAACGTTTTATGCAACAATCCTAGTATTCAATTTGAATACATTGAACATTCTTCCCTACCCGCTTAGACATCAATAAAAATGAGAAAATAGTGAAAGGAACAAAGGAAGAAAACTGCAAAAGAAGATAATATTTATAAATACATATATATAAAATATATATGCGAAAGCTTAAAAAAAAACATATTTAAGGTGAAGCAAGAATAGAAGATGACAGGGCCGCGACATAGATACAACATATATGTAAGTCATTTATAAACGAACAGAAAAAAGTAAACATACTTACAAGCAAGTGAAAGCATAAAGCTATCCATTTGAGAACTGCTTACGTATTTAAGAAAGCAACATAGTAAAATATCGTATATATAGTATATATAATATATATATATATATATATATATATATATGTTCATATATGTTCGATTTCGATTTCACAATAACTTAACTTATAGCTCAATATATACGACAACATTTACTTAATCATCGAATATCTTACCTGTAATCAAGTTTAAGCTCGCCAAATCGATAATAACTTAGTTTATACATAAGACAGTTTAGAAGAGTAGGTGCACCCTCAGAATCTATCCGAAACTCTCCTCTGTCCGTAAAGTAATCACTTTCTTTTATATCCTTGGGATGTTCTCCCTCTGCAATTCGTACCATCCACAAAAATTTATTAATATCATCGCCTGAATAACCAATAACTCCACCAAAAATGATGAGAACATAATCGACATCTAATGAAGACATTATTTCATATGACTTTTCCTCTGTAGAGGACATAGCCTTTCCGACTAAAGCTATATGACTATTATTCCATGTATTATTGTCAACCAATGTTGTCCTGTTTGCCATTCCTGCTATTTGATAACCATAGTCCCACCATGACATTATACGAGCGCTATCAGGTGTATTTTGTGAAAGCCAATAGTAAGCTTCGCGGAAGTCATCCAATATATTTCGTGAACTATGAGGAAAAGAAAACCAACATTAATGTACTAGTTTTTTTAGTTAGACACTAGAAATGCAAATGTAAAATTATTATTATTTTTTTTTCTAACTATCTTAAGCTTATTTTTATCATCAGCAGGATTCTCTGTACCCAATCCTATACTGGTCACTTATAATTTTATGTATTATGTTTACCGGCTAGCAATTAACTGCAAAGAAATGTACAGTGGCTCAAATATGTACTCGGACACAAAAGTTAAATGACTTTAAGCAAAAAAAAAAAATATATATAATAAAATGCAAATCGAGGGCTTTCTGTTTAACATATATTTCTATTCTTCAAGTGTATTTTTCAAAACAACCAAAACCATAAACTAAACTCGGTCGTATAAACTCGGACATATACACGTACATAACAAAGAATTTAAAAATTTTATTTAAAGAGAAACAAAATATTCTTAATATTTGGTTGGCAAGCCTTTACTTTTTCTGATAGCATTCAGTCTTTTTGGCAAAGATTCAACTATTGTAGCTTTTTGCATGTTAAAGAATTTGTTCCCCCCCCCCCTCCAAAATAGCGGCCTCTAGGTCTCTCTTATTTTTAATAACATGCATTTTCAGTTTATTTCCAAATGATCCTACAGATGTGTCCATATTACCATTTATGAAACACAAATTTCCAGTATCAGCTGCGGACATACAAAACCATACCATACTGAACCGCCCCCGTGTTTAACAGTCAGACGTAAGTTCTTTTCTAGCAACTCTTCATTCGGTTGTCTCCAAACATACGACTGTCTATCTGACCTAAATATATTAAATTTGCTTTCAAATAAAACTTGTTTCCAGAATTAAAAATCCTTATCCCCATGACATTTTGGAAATTATATCCTTTTGTTTCAGTTAACCTCGTTTATAAATGGTTTCTTCCGTACTACTCTTCCATTATAATTTTTTTTTCGTATGACTATTCGGATACTCTTCGGATTACAATTTATATTGAGATGTTGCAAAACTTTTGTTGAGACTTGGGAACGCTCATGGTTGGATTTTTTTTGATTTGCTTCACTATCCACAGCTCATCACCGCAGCAGAAAACAACTTCGGTCGTCCAGACTTCTTTTTGTCTTCGACGGATTTTGTTTGTTTGAAAAAACTTCTGAAAGTTTATTCTAAGCTATTACGTTTGATTATATACATATATATTTTTAAACGAATACAAACTAATTGTGGGATTCCCCTTTTTAAAATGCCAAGCAACTGTAATATTACCATATGTCCGACTTCTTTTTTGGCGAAATTTCAAGCATGCCACATGTTAATTTTTTGAAGTAAGGGTATAGGAGATTTATGAACTATTTAATTTGTTTGTTATTGGTATTTTTTAAATCCTCATTGCTTAATATTAATTGGTTAAAAAAAGATCTAGCTTGAAGTTGCATGTTAATAACAGTGGATAATGTTAATAACAGAAGATATGTCCGAGTTCTTTATTGAGCCACTGTATATATACGACTGTCTGTTCGTTTTCGATTTGAACATATGACCTTCTCCTTGATAGTACGCATTCTTAACCGCTTTTCAACTTCCTGGGCGCCAGTTGTAACGAGCCCGGTTCCCGGTCTATAGTCACAACGTTTTATATAAATGGTAAATACTCCGTAAAAGATTTTCTTTTGTACCACCGTATAAATTCCAATTACGAGAGATACGACATTTAGATATTCTATAACCGAATAAACTCGCCTTAATTTGTTGTGATATCTCGTTAGATTAGTTTAATAAATAATTGAATATATAGGGTTGCCCCAAAACAAACCGACGTTTTTTCATATAGACGGCGTAGACAATTTTTTAACAGCTTCCCTTCAAGCAAAGATGACTAGATACGAAACTTACTTAAAATCACTCAAATTGCAGCTGAGAGCGTTCCCCCATCTCACATTCTAATGTTGGCGGCAGTGTCTGATCGAGGAACATTGAACACAATGCACCAGTACCTCTATGTCAAGAAAAAAATCCTTTGTTTTTGTTTCAAAAGAAATTTGATTCAGCAGTAAATATTAAAGAAATTATTGTAATTATATTATGAAAACTTAATATAATTAAATATTGAATTGTTTCTTAATAAAATATTTTAGTGAAATTGCAATTAAAGACGTAGTTGTTTGTAATAAAATACCCAAAATATACCTAAGAATCCAAAGAAGTCATTTTTCTATCACAGTGGCACTGTTGTTGCACTGAAATGTTATAAAAAATGGATTTTTGAGCGCTCTCACGGAAGAAAGAGTTTCGTATCTAGCCATCATTGACGAAACTTACTCCCTCATCTCTACAACGCCAACACAAGCAACGGCAAAAGAAAGCAACATGCAAGCAGAAGACTCTCAGCAGTAAACACGCAGTAAAAACAAGAGAGATAAGGTAACAGCAATCAGACACCCATCAGGAAATCGCACACCAAAACAAATGAAAAGGAGCAGCAAGCGGTAAGCCCAATGAGATAAAAAAGAACACAATAATACAGACAGGACTAGATCGATATATAAATATCAAAAGGAAATCAAGTCCAAATCAAATTTGTGGAACTAATGTAAAAAGTCAAGAACCCTCCAGTAGTAACCGATTTGTTCTATTAAGTGAGGACAGCGTAAAGGATACTACTGAATTGGTTATAAAATACTTAATAGAAATAAAGTACCCCAGCCAATGTTTAAGGTAGAGCTCGAGCCCAATTCAAGTCAGATAAAGAAAAACAAAACCCATCCCATATACAATTTAAAATATTTGCTACATCGTAGGGTAAAAGTAGAAGAGCCACACAAAAGAAACGGCCCAGTGCAATGAACTAACTACCAAGAATTCGGCCATACTAAATCTTATATCTCACGTCTGAATGCACGTCAAAAAAAGATGATGCCACCATGAAAAAATGTAGTAATAGTGGAGGTAATGACACCGCCAATTATAGGGGCTGCCCTGTATAAAAAGGTCTAAAAGTTAGGTTGGCAAAAAATATCCAGACTCGTCGAAGTCAAATGGTAAATACTCATCAAATCCAATTTGGAGAAAAGGCTACGGATAAAACTGTTCCAAACGAGCAAAATATGAATCAAAATAATTATCTTATGCGAATGTACTGAAGAATAATTCAGATAATATTCCACAGAACCAATATAATGGAGGTATAGAATCGATGATTTTAAACGTTACGCAGTACATGACACAGTTCATGTCAACTATGCAAAGCATGATCCAAGACTTGATTAAAGCCCAGAATAACATGCTACAAATCTTCATGCCAAAAAAAATGAGCGTGCTAAGCATTTGTTTATGGAATGCAAGCGGTGTGAACCAACATAAATTAGAATTGGCACTATTTTTAACAGAGTATTCTATAGACGTAATGCTATTGTCTGAAACGAACTTGACGGATAAATTTATATACCTGGTTTCATATTCTACCCCACTAACCATCCTGATGGCAAAACGCACGGCGGCACTGGAATACTTCTAAGAAACGGCCTTAAACACTGCGTCTTACAGCCCTACGCCTCCTATTATCTACAAGCTACCTCTATAACCTTGAATAATTATGGCAAAGAGCTAAATCTCTCAGACATTTATTGCCCTCCAAAATTTAAGATCACAGAAAATCAATTACAGGAATTTTTTAATAATCATGGTGATAGATTTATACCAGGAAGAGATTACAATGCAAAGCATGTATACTGGGGATCCAGTCTAATAAACCCCAAAGGCCGTCAGCTATACAATACCATTATAAACCAATGTAACAATTTGGATTGTGTTTCCCCAGGTCGACCAACATACTGGCCTACCGATCGGAAGAAAAGACCTGAATTAATAGACTTTGCTGTCTCAAGAAAAATCGACAGGCAACTTGTATCAGCTGTGACAGTTGCTGAGTTGTCTTCAGACCACTCACCAGTTCTAATAAAAATTTACGAGCGCCCGAAGATAGTGGCACAAGAATCAAGACTAACAAACAGAGAAACCAAATGGCTAATCAACCCCGTATTGAATTGTGGAAACGATATTGATGACTACATTAATGAGCTAAATAATGTCCTTGTTTCTGCGGCAACCATAGCAACTACAAAAGTAAAAAGCCTACTACGTGCCCAAAAATTTTAACAAATACAGAAATTGAAGAACTAGTAAAAAATAAGCGCCGTTTGCGAAGAGAATGGCAAGAATATCGCTCCCCAGCAGCAAAGTTATAGTTGAAAGTAGCAGAGAGGAAGCTGAAAAGTGCACTGAAACAAGCAGAAGATCAAAACGCCAAGGCATACATATAAAAACTAGTGCCAAATTCTGCCGAAAAATATTCACTCTTTAAAGCACAAAAGAAATTTAAGTCTCCAATAGAAGTAATATGCCAATCAGGGACCCAAATGGTAACTGGACATGTAGTAACGAAGAAAAGGCAAATTGTTTTACAAAGCATTTAAGTAATATATTCCAGCCAAATGACGCAACTAATAATTTCATTCTGCCGGAATTTGCTATTAACGACCAGGAAAATCAATGGCAATTAAAATATACAGAAACTGAAACCTAAGAAATCTCCAGGCATCATTACATCAAAAACCAGACCAATGCAGTCTTTCCAAATTATTTGAAAAAATTCTGCTATCAAAAATATCTCCTTTTCTCCACCGTAACAATGTGATATCAGATCACCAATTCGGCTTTCGTGAAAAGCATAGTACTATTGAACACGTTAACCGAATAACTAACGAAATCAGAAAGGCATTCGGGCTCAGTGGGTACTGTTGTGCAATATTTCTTGACGTAGCACAAGCGTTCGACAAAGTCTGGCAAAAAAGTTTACTCTATAAAATACATAAAGCTCTGCCTGTTCAATTTTATATGATACTTAAGTGATACTAACAGACAATTTACCATTAAACAAACTGAATTTATCAGTGAGGAGTATCCGGTAAAAGCTGGTGTACCGCAGGGTAGCGTCCTCGGGCCTATTTTATATATCATATACACTGCAGACATCCCATTAAACCGAAAAGTGCAGACATCTACCTTTGCGGATGACACAGCTATTTTATGCCGGGATAAATGTTCTAAAAGAGCAGCAAAAACGATTAGTAATCATTAACTCCTCATCGAAGAATGGCTAAAAAACTGGAGAATTAAATATAATGAATTTAAATTTAAATAAAAACTCCGGTCTAAAACAAGACTACAAAGTTGTTATTTACAACGCAGGGTACTGTGGGGTACGACCTGTGCAACTAATATTGATAAAATACAGAGGTTCCACTCCAAAATTTTCAGGGCGCACCATGGTACGTTCGTAACGCTAACAAAAAACCTTGGTATTTTACTGGTTAAGCCTGAAATTGAAAGAAGCAGGACGAAGTATTTCCAAATCCGCTAGCTAATGCTTTATGCAACCCATCGAGAAAATCCCGCCTGCAGCGAAGAGATGTTCACGCCTTCTAAGGAGACGCCGTAGTTTGAAAAGGGCTCAGAATTGAATAACTCGAGCTATCATGTTTGTAATTTAGATTTTAAGATTTGTACACTTACTGTTAGGCTTATGTTATAGCAGATCCAGTAAATAAATGAATTCTGTATAAAAAGAAAAAATCACTCAAACTGCAGCTGAGAGCGTTCCCCCATCTCACATTCTAATGTTGGCAGCAGTGTCTGATCGAGGAACATTGAACAAAATGCACCAGTACCTCTATGTCAAGAAAAAAATCCTTTGTTTTTGTTTCAAAAGTAATTTGATTCAGCAGTAAATATCAAAGAATTTATTGTAATTTTATTAATAAAACTTAGTATTATTAAATATTTAATTGTTTCTCAATGAAATTTATAAGTGAAATTGTAATTAAAGATGTCGTTGTTTGTAATAAAATACCCAAAATATACCTAAAAATCCAAAGAAGTAAATTTTCTATCACAGTGGCATTGTTCAGAAATGTTAGAAAAAAATGCGGATTTTTGAGCGCTCTCCCGAAATAAAAAGTTTCGAATCTAGTCGACAATACTGCAAGAAAGGTCTGATGGGTTCACAAATATACACATGATTTCGGGCAGCACTAACATAAAAGCAATTTTTTTTTGTTTATCTTTCTCTTCTGAGTACATATAACCGGATAATCCGTTTTATGTTATGTTTTTATTTTCGATTAGAATGCCATTTTTATCGTTTTCTCTGCAGCAGATAGCAGAAAATGTAAAAAAGTGAAATATTTGGATGAAGATAATATACAGGCATAATAAATTCATTTCATCATTACACCTTACATTGTTCTTATTTAAGGGCACCCCATATTGTTCGGAATATTCAGTTAATGGGGCAGGTTGACTGGAATGGAATTGGAATAAAGACTGAATCTTAATAATTTTTGTATGTAAGTATATATGTAGGGAAAATTTTGTCAAAGCTGATTTCTTTCGACGTCAATGGTGTCGCTCATCTGTGTTCGTCTCGTACGGCACTGCTGCTTTTTTTTACGTCAATATTGTTTTCTTTTGATATCAATGTTGTTGCTCAGCTGTGTTCTGTTTGTCCGACAAGAATAAAAAAAATGTACAAGGAAACCAAGATAGAATGACGTGCACGTATAGAAATGTAAACATCTCATTTGCCATTTCGGCTTGGGATGCGAAAATCATTTTACGAGCTGACGGGATATGTCGTCATGCATTCCTGACATACGTTGGCCCAAACGCCTTCTTACAGTTATGTATAAGCTGTCACTTTTAGCTTGCTGTAGGAAGAAGGAATGCGTAATTTTGTTTATATTTCTCTGTTCGCCGTCATTTTTAATATGAAGCCAACATAAGAAAATTTTCGCAATATTTTACTTTTGTATTTTCTTAAAGGAAAAAATGCAGGTCACGTTGCTAAAAATTTGCATAATTTGTATGATGACAAGGCTTTTAAGGAAACACAATGTCGAAGTTGGTTTGTCAAATTCCGTTCAGGAGATTTTTCAGTCAAAGATAAGCCACGTTCAGGCTGGCAGAGTAAAGTTGATGTTGACGAAATCGAGGCGGATCGTCATGTAACTGAGCGTGAGATTCGAGATAAGTTAAGTATACCAAGACAAACCAATTCATTTAACAAGCCGTTTTAACGCATGTGAAATGCATCTTAAACGCAAATTTCTTACGATTTCCTCTTCTATCACAAATAAAAAAAATTTCGCCGATTTTTTCTTTTTTTTCTTTCCTAGTATTCTAAACCAACTCCGAAAGTGGGGAAAAATTCCCAGCGGAAAAAGTTGGCATCTCCAATGTATAAAAAATTTGGATTATTTCAAAATTCCGCGAGAGTCCTTTCCATAGAAGTTGTGTGAGAGTTTTTATAAAAAAAGTAAGTGTGTATTAAATATAACACAAATAATTGTATTGTATATGGTTTATTTTCATAAATAATCGTATAGATGCTCAACAACAACGTGTAAAGTGCAGTTTCAGTAGCTGGTAAAGCGGATTTTTTAAGGGTAATAATGAACCAGTTTTGGAGGAAGGTAAGCCAATATGTGAAATAGAAGAAAATAAAATTTCTTTTCCCGTAAAATGCAGGTTTTTTAAACAAGTATTTTACTTTTAGGTGTGAGCTGACCAAAAGAAATAAGTCCAGCACAAAACTTCTAGGCCGGAAAGCACGTAAACAAATAATGCAGAGCGTAAATTGTCCACTCCCGAAGAAGCGAAATTCAAAATCATTGGAATGAAATAGTCGGTGGAAGGGTTGCCTGCAACGAAGTTTGGATTGAAAGAGCAAGCGACCTTGTCAAACGATGTGGATATTTGTCCTGGTGTAGATTTTATCTACTTTAAAGAAGAGTTCGTTCCCATTCTTCCTTATTTGCTTCAGCAGCGAATATATATACAATAGTACCACAGTATCCATAATTCTAATATAATTTTTATTTTCAACAACAATTGTTTCTTTCACCAAATTATCAAATGTCAATAATACTAAGCAGCTGATTTCGAAAGAAAAAAATCTTAATTCCAAAAAATTATTCTTTCTGTGCACTTAGAATTGGTGTATTTTGTCTTAGGGGATTTCTAAACCCGCTAGGAGAATTTCCGCGAGAATATCTAGAATTGGGCTGATATTTTAAGCTGCTTCCAAGGAACCAAACGATTAATTCGAATGTTTACTGTGTACATCCTATACCGATTAGAAGAAACGGCCAGAATTGGTCATTCGTACATGTGTCATAATCCACCAGGACAATGCTAGACACCGTCGGACTACCATTTGTTTCGATATTTGCAGCGCTCATTAAGTGCTAAGCTTTCGAAAATGGCGAGGCTATAAAATCGTACATAGTTCAATTTTTTGCAGATAAAGGCCAGAAGTTCTATGAGCGTGGAATAATGATGTTGCCGGAAAGATGACGAAAGATCATCTAATAAAGTTCAATATAAAATTTAAAAAATGTATTTACTTCATTTTAAAAAATCTCCGGGTTTTTTGGAGCAGCCCAATATTAGCTCCCTGTTTTAATTCATAATTTCATAATTAATTTGGTGTAACTTTGGCTGCGGTGGCCGAGTTGTTAGCATTGCGTCCTGCCATTCGAAAGGCGTGGGTTCTGATCCCCATGCGATCAACATTCAAAAGTTTTAGAAAATTAATTAAATATAAAATTAAGCTAAATTTTCTAATTGCGGTCGCCCCTTGGCAGGAAATGTAAACCCCTCCGAGTGTATTTCTGACATGAAATAAAGCTCCTCATAAAAAACTGCATAAACTGTAGGTCCTGCATTTGTTGGAAAAACATCAGGACACAAAACCACAAATTGTTTCTTTCTTAGAAATACAATTCAAAATAGTTTTGATCAGGTGGCTTTAAAAATTTTAAGTTGTATGGCATTCGAATTAGAATTTCCGACACACTATTTTGTGCAGTCATGGGCAGTGAGAAAGAAGTTTAAATACACCACTAAAGGTTTAAACGAATTGCAATGGTTGTTGTAAAGTTTTTCGAAACATTTTTTCCTAGCGTTGATCGTGAACAATAAAGAAGTCTGCGTTGACCGGAGAAATGCTGACATGGTGATGACCATTTGAGTAGAGAGTGAAAGCAGAGCAGGATTGAAGGCATATAAAGTGCAGAAAGTAAGGGACCAAAACGCTGAGAAGAACTGCGAAGTAAAGATACACGCTCAACAATTGAGAAGAGACTTTGTGAACAAATTTTGTTGTTGCATAATGGATGACGAAATTTACGTCCTGTCTGACATTCGACGATGCTGCATTAGCAGATATTGCAGGCGCACATCAAGTATTCAAAATCTCACAGAAATTGTTAGGTATACTAAATGGATCGCACATTTGACCCTTATAACAGTATCATAATGGGCGAACCGGTCGAACTGTGCCGGCTACAAGGCGGCAGCCAGAATAACTCTACTCAACTCTCACATAAATTTTTTCTACCCGATTTTGAAAATTTTTTTTCTTTTATTAAGAAAAAGAGTATGGTTCGGCTTGTAATTGGTGCCATCGATAGTTAGAAAAGAGTTTTAACCATAGGGGTAGAAATGGAGTTTGACTCATTCGTATATTCTTGCATAATCCGTGACCACGTAGTCCCACGGGGCTATTTTGTTCTAGAAAGGATACTTCCAAGTTCGATACTACATAAAATTTAAAAATTAAAAACAGAAATTCTCAGCGAAACAGAAGAAGAAATGGGTTAATTTACTGTGAATTTCTCGCTATTAAAAAAGTAATATAAATCTATAAATTAAAAGCTTTTTAAAAACATTAAGCCGCCGGAAAACTAAAAAGCCAAAAGTAATAATTTTTAATCTTAATAAACATATGTATGTTCGTATATCTTATTAATTTTGAGTCAGTGCTTAGCAATCGATGCGAAGTCGATGTAATGTCTTTTTTGAATTGTCTTACTTTTAATGACTAAATGATGATTTTAAACGATGTCAAATTTTCAAAACGACACCGTGATTGTAATACCTCTTGTTTAAACGTGTACTTAACATAGCCTCAACGTCGCCAAAACTCCGTACATTTTGTGCGCACCCTAATGCAGGCACATTGCAGCAAATATTACATTATATAAGCAGTGAAAAGCCTGAAAAAGGCGAGATTTCTAAACCAACCAGGAGCAAGCGATTACAACTATAACTATAAACGACAGAGCTTATGTAGCTACATGCATAAATAATTGTAAAATTAATTAATTAATAATTCGTATATATCTAATCACTACTCTTTTATAAAAATTCTAATAATTATTAAACTAAAATATTTGTGTTTGCAAAATGAATATGCGAGTAGTTTTTTTAAAGACTACGGTAAACACCTACTGCCTACTGTGCCTTCAGCTAAGCAGCATTTTCTCTTTTTATACGTTTTAGTATTTATTAATAAATAACTCCGAAAACCTCATTGGCGCTCATATATACATATATATACAATATATATTCATATATTCATATCATATATATATATGTATATATATTCATACACAAAAAAAATTGCTAACTGCCTGATCTTAAATCATATCCAGCGAGATAAAGTTGTCAGACAAAGGACCAACAAGCCTGCCAAGTTTTGATCTGATTGGGCTGAGCTGCGGAGCGGGCAGTGAACAAGCACTACCACCCTTCTTATTCCAGGGTGTTACGCGGACCGTGTCCATTGGTTGGTTTGCAGTTGGGAGGGTCAAAAATCAGCTTTAGTATAACGATGCCTTCTCAACGCAGGGTCGGCTCGGGATGGAACGGTGGCCTTAATGCGGCATGGGGCGCTGCCGTAGCTAAATATTTTCCCACAACGTGGATAAGGATAAATATTACAAAAAAAGCAGCAAGTACAGAGATCTCTCACCAGAGGCTGCAGCCCTGGAGATGTGACTCGCCAGACAATAGGCGTTCATCCAAGGAATGATCAACTCTCAGTACCAAGGGACTTACGACTCCACTGAGACGTGAATTGCCAACTAGACGAAATCAACACGAAGACCAAATTGACAAAAACGCCGAGCAGAGAAATCAGAGTTTCGAGAGCTTAGACCTCCGCAAAGACTGAACTCTCCTAGCCGAAACCAAGGACGTGAAGAACGTTGGACAGAGGTCGCCCGGGCAGCTGACCGACATCAAAGACGCCATAATGGAAGAGGTAGTGAAGGGCTTGAAGAAGCTGCTCGCCATAACTGGAGTAACTTTCAGACCAGGGACTAATAGAGGTCTGTAAAGACAGCAACACAGCCGAATGGCTAACCAAGACAGCACTCAACTTGAGTGGATGGTCGGGAGTAGAACTGACCACGTAGTGTGGATAAGGAGCAATTTTAGGAGTTAGGCCTACTGCAGGCGCAAAACGGTCCTCACACCTACGAATGGAAGCCGTTAGACGAAAAATTTGAAGAAACCTGTTTGAAGCTGAACCAATGTAAGGATAATGAGTCGATCAACAACATGTCGTGGAACAGCTTCAGACTCAACTCTAGATTCGGTTGTATACTTGCCAAGCCCAATCACATCCAGCAGAGACTGAGGGAATAGAGGAAGGGGCTGTAGCCCAAAACAATACTTCGCAAGGTAACGGTCAGACAACAAACTTAACAGCAGACGAAGAAATCCGTTCGACGAGAGAACTGGTAGAAGGCCTCAACCTCATGAGAACGGGATGCTATAGTGAGGAACTTATGCTCTCCGATTTCGAGGAGCACAGATCAATCAACACCGTGCGGTTGCCACCTCGGCGGCATCCTGGTGATGTTCTGGTGCAGGAGTCATGGACCTGAGATGAAATATCAACCCGTTCACGCCGGCGGGTACCACCGGTGGCTCGCACATGATTGCACTACCAAGTAGTAATTTATTTAAAATTTTCATTAAAAGCATTAATATTTTTTAATAATTTTAATTTAAACATATACATATATTGGTATATATATATATTGGCATAGTGAAAAGTTCGTTTGGTTTTTTTTTTTAATTGATTTTTCAAAATATAATTTTGTGTACATTTGTCCGATTTAAGTCAAATATGCGCCGTTTTGTTCGTAGAAGGCTGCGTCCCTATTGGCAAAAAACTCGGAGAGCCAATTTTCACAGGCCTCTCCTGAGGCCAAAGTCTCACTATTAAGCGCGTTCGCCATGGGCAGGAAAAGATGACAATCACTTGGACTTCGTCCATGGGTGCATTAGGACCTCCCATCCCAGCTTTGGGAGCTTCTGGCGCGTTACCAAAGAGGTGTGTGGCCTGGCGTTGTCCTGATGGAACACAATTCGGCATCTATTGATCAAAGATGGCCTCTTCTGGATGAGTGCTGCCTTCAAGCGGTTCATTTGGCAGTAGAGGGCTGAATTGAGCGTTTGACCATAGGCGAGCAGCTCGTAGTAGATGATTCCTTGCCAATCCCACCAAACATACAGCAAAACCTTCCTAGCCGTCAATCCGGTCTTGGTCACCGTCTGGGCCGCTTCCCCGACCTTTGAACACGACCGTTTGAGCTCGATGTTGTCGTAAGTGACCCATTTTTCGTCGCCAATCACAATCCGCTTTAGAAACGGGGCGATTTTGTTGCGATTCAGCAGCGATTCGCAGATGGAAATTCGGTCCATCAAGTTTTTTTGCGTTAGTTCGTGTGGCACCCAAACATCGAGCTTCTTTTTGAATCCAAGATTATGCAAATGGTTCCCAACAGTTTTCTAGCTTATCTTTAGTTCCTCAGCAATTATATAAGTGAACACGTGACGGTCTGTTAACACTCTTTCCATGATTTTGTCGCAATTTTCGACGACAGGCCTCCCGACGCGTGGTGCATCTTTGATATCGAAATTACTGGAACGGAACCTAGCAAACCACTTTTGTGCTACACGTTCGTTTACGGTATCGGTCCCATAAACTAAATTAACTTTTTCAGCCGCTTTGGCTGATTTTTCGCTTTGATCGAAGAAAAATTGTAAAATATAGCGAATTTTCTCTTTGCTGGTGTCCATCTTTGACTTGCGCTCACAACGTATTGATTCAATCAATCGCAAAATTGTCAAAGACAAACTTTTAGCGAGAGTAAACGCGTTTTCAACGTCGTATAGTATGACATAATGCGACACGTAATACCAGTACTACGGACAATAACGTCATCTCTTGGATAAAAACCGAACGAACTTTTTACTGGACCTAATATATATATATATATATTATTATATATATATATATATATTATTTTTTAATAATAATTTTAATATATAAAGAACGAAAAGCTTTAAGCGCAATCGCCTATGGGCGGGAAATATAAATTGCAGAGCCGGAGTGAATGTATTAAAGATAACAAGTTTCAATGCAAATTTCAAAATATCCCTAGGGAAAATCAATCATGGACCCGACCTTAGGTACAGAAAGTTATAAAGTAGAACTCCCATGTGTGGTACTCAGATGGTTAAAACACTATTGATTGAATAGGTCATTCTTTCCCTTAGGTCCACAAGAAGGAAGGAACTGATTATGAAAAACAGATATTGGTATTTTAGCGACGGAATGCGATAATCAAAGAAACTTATAAACGGCTAAAATACCAAAAGAATTAATAACATAATATTATTTCGTAAGAATAATTTAAGAATACTAACAGCACATAGAAAACTGCGTAAGCGCATGTACAGCATGCACGGATGAAACTTGTCGATGGCATCATAAAAACCGGTGCACATTATATAATATTTGAATGTGAGGCTGTTGCAAGAAGAAGACATAAGCATTTAGCAGTCATTTCCGGAGAAGAACCACATTAAATCAATCAGCCCCTTTAACCTGATTAGTTTTATAAGAACATTAGATCTAATGTAATAATATACCACTGGTCGCGGTCCATATTCCCTTACTAATCTATTTATCTATATGTATACAAATATACATGCTAAGCGTAATTGATCAAGATAGATTCAGAGCAATAATACCAAAAATGGTATATATATATATACCTGCAGCGGACATACAGCCCCATACAATGACTCCTCCACCACCAGGTTTACTCCACCCAATTTGATGGCCATCAAATTGAAAGATATTGAATTTACTTTCATCCGAGATGTGTACATTGTCCGAAAGTTAATTGGTTTGCTTAGGCACTCCTTAGCACGCTAAACATTTCTTTTGGTTCTCTTTTGAAATTAGGGGTTTGCATCTATCTACAGTTTAACTATCTTGCTGTGCCGATAATTTAGTTCATCACTGTATATTTGGTTGTAAATACCTTACATGACACCATAAAATATTTCATTTTTACTTTTGGTGTTACTTTTAAATGTATTGCGAAAAGAATTAACAATTCTTTCTTATTTTACAATTAATTTTTAAATTTGTTAATTTCCTTTCTAAAAATATTAAATTACATCATCGATATCCATTTTAATATCATATTTTGTAAATTTATAACGCATTTTACTCACACTTTGTTTATGCTTTGCTGGATTTTGTCAACAAAAAAAAAAAAAAAAAAAAAAAAAAAAAAAAAAAAAAAAAAAAAAAAAAAAAACAATAAGCAGATGGTGTATTGCGATTTTGAAACGCCAATATTTTTGTCTCTGCTAAGCATTTACCACGAACAATCGAAATGGTTTTATGATATTGATCCAATAATTTTGCATGAGTTAAATTTTTTCACCTCAAGGTTTCTAATAATAAAACAGCACTGGCATGCAAAACTATCAGTATGTAAATAGTGCGTCATTAGAACTCATTGCAGCGAATTTCAGGCAAATCTCAGTATTCTAAAATCAGATTTTTAAATATTTCGTGGTTTATTAAAATTAATATAACTTAAACAAAAAAAAAATACAATTAAAATAAAATTATTTATCTCGGTTTAGAAAATTTTGTATTAATGTACTTTCTGAGATCTTTCTACTCACTATACACCACTTGCGTCGGAAGTCTGATATGTCTTTGCAAGTTTCTTTTGTTGCCTTTAATTCCTTTTTAATCAGGTCCAATATCTTTCGATTGGCCCAAATTCAGAACGATTTCTGAGTGCGTATCTTAGCTTTGCGATTCTTCTCATCGTTTCGGTCCGGTACTTTCTACACGGTTCATTGCGCCAACTGAGCGGTTTTAGATTTCCCTATAACATGACCACTACTATCTCCGCTTTAATTTGGTCATCGCACAGCCGTTTTTTCTGCCCGTACCTTATTTACGATCTAAGCTAAGATTCTCTTTAAACTTTTTTACTACCTCGGAAACAGTGTTTCGGCTAACTTTAGCACAAGTTTAACAATTCATATTCAATACAATTTGACATATGCTTCAAAGTCAATCTGATAAAAAAAAAATTTTGAATTGTATTTCTAAGAAAAAAGTAAGAATTGAAAATGTGTGCACTAATTTCTAATGGCGCACTCTTTATTTAAGCATATGTATGAAATAGCTAAATGGTGGAAAATACAATGAAACTAATTATTAACGAGCTTGTAGTCACGAGCATGCTTTGAATTCAAAACAAAAGTTAAATACTAAGCTTAATTGATCAAGATAGATTTAGAGCAATAATACCAAAAATGGTGTACTCTGACAAAGTGTTTTAAAAGAAATTACCGTTACAGACCACTACTATTACAGATAAAACATTGTTCTCTGATTGCAAAATTTGCACTTCATAAAATAATAACGAAACACAAATATTTTTTCAATTTTATTTAAGTAGCATTCCAACTATTTTGAACACACTGATTTCGATAATATTAGAATATGTTATACTTACCCGTCCTGATTATTATGAAAGGCCAAAACAATTGATGGACTCGAATAGGCGTTACTTGTAACCCATGTGCAGTGTACAGCAAACATCATTAATATCATTAAAATAGCAAGAATAATAACGCTTTTCAGATTAGAGCCTATTCCGCAATGGGTTTCCAGCTGGGCGTCGTGTTTGGGGCGAAATTTAATTTTCCCCGCCTGAAATTATAATGAAGGGGAAATATAATAATTATAATAAATATTCTTAAATACAATTGTTTATAATACTTAATTAATTTACCTTACGTGAAGAAAAGTTTCGCTATTACTGATTCGGCAATAATCGTAACATAATAAATTTACAAATATCTTTGTGAAGAACATTGCGGTAACCCTAAAAACCCAGTTACCTTGGCAAGTCCACCTTGCAAGGTTGGAAGGGTCTTCGTTTTTTACCGAGATCTAATGAAATTGCAACAAGCCAATACGCCTAGATGCGTGCACAAAGACCGCTTCCTTGAAATAACTTCCCATTTTCAATTTAGCCGGCTGAAAGCTACTATTTACTTTCGGTGTAGTCAGAGAAAATATGGAATGTTTTTTCATTAATATTCACAGCTGAAGCTACAGCAATTCTCAAAGCCGTGCAATACTCAAAACAAAATGGCGGAAAATACATAATATGCACAGAGAGCCCCTCATCACTAAGAAAATTACACTCTCTTACTACCTACTGTAGCTCAAAGTAATATCATATTAGAACAGTAATAAAAGCTTCATATTATCCTAAATATTAAAAAAAAATAATAATCAATATAATAATAAAAAAAAAAATTAAAAAATAAAATTGGTATTTGTGGACATTATTAATTAACAAAAAGCTTTATCAAGAGTTTCGGAATAAATAATAATAGAAAAAACAGCGAAATCAATATCACAGTAATTAAGACTTATTACCATGTGGTTAATAAATTTCTATAATCCTAGGATTAATGTGAAGCGTTCGACAGAACGACTTAGCGACACGCTTTAAACACCATTCAGCGAGAGTCGTTTACAACTCCTGAAACATTCTTATAATGAATGGCGTTCTCAGAGTCAACTTAATTTTTTTGAATAAAAAAAATGTACACATTTAAAAAATTAATTGTCTTCTATCTGATTGCTACAAAACATAGTTTTCTAAATGAAAATCTTGTATAGTTTTGTAACCTATTTTACGGTATTTAATAATTTCGTGTATAGGTGTTATACTGTATCCAAAGTTGTTTTTGTTGTTGCTGCTTGTTAAAACAGTGACGAGATGTTTGTTTTACTCGTTACAGTTTTGTTTTGTTGTTGTTGTTGTTATGACCGCTAAAATATTCCCCAAAGTACTTTTTGCAGAATGTTGCGGGAGTGACAGCCCTTGGCCGGATAAAAATCCGGGTCGTTCCGGTATAAAGACCCGACTGTCGCGGGAACTATTGGATTTTAGTCGCCTCTTACGACAGGCATGCTGGTAAATTCTTGAACCCCTCACCCGCAGGGGTTGTTTTGTTTTTAGTTTTTTTGTAAACGTATGCAGCTTTCGTGCAAGGCATCTCTTAGGCATTTTTCGATCTCTTAAAGCAAAAGAGATGCTAAACAAGACCGAATGTCTTGAAATTGTTTTCAATCCATTAGCTCACCCGAAGGAGAACCCGCACGACACTAACATCCTCTTTTCATGGCCCTTAAAACCAACTTATATAACCCTCCTTTTCCTCTTGCCCGAGTTTGTCGAAACAGCCACAGCAAAGGCTGTGCATCTGGCATTGCTTTTTTAGATTATATAAGATATTATTTTGCAAACTTAAATAAATAAATAAAAATATTATAAGTGGAATTCAACCGAAATATTGGTTCGATTAATTATTGTAAAACAGGGATATTCACACTTATAAAATGAGTTTCAGGCAAAATCTGCTTCACAAAGGTTTAAAAATAAACAACGTACAACCATAATCGATAACACACTGTAACAGTTAATTATTATGGACTTATAAGTAAATTAATTTAATTTTTCTATTAAATAAATGATATATTAAAAAATTTACCTTATCGTACAGGTTCTTTTTATCCACATGATTGTCCTCAGCTATTTCTGTATTAGCTATATTTCCTCCTTTGCCAACAATTCTCGAGCTATAATCCTCTTTAAGGAACACTTCCAAGAGCGTAGAAAATGCAATTCCCGCCAATATACAAACGACCGGAGTAAGAGTTAACATTAAACGAACCATTACTCCAGCAAAATATACAGCACTGATGGCATAAAGCACCACGAAAATGCGCTCGTCATTAACAGACTTTATGCAATACCAAATTCCAACAGGAAATGTGCAAACAAGTATATGCAAATCGAAGAAAAACGAAAACCAAGTTGTTGGCTGATGTTCGGATACTGAAGCAATAATGGGAATATGTATTTTAGCATATCCTGTATCCCATAGAGAATAAAAACGTCCGCTCCATGGAGCAATAACTCCAAATATTGTAAGAAAAACGACTCCGAGAAATACAATAAGAGCCGCGAACATCCCTCCGAATAAATAGAATTTACGGAAATCGCTTCGAGATAACACACTCTGCAAATGTCGGAGGATTGCTATAAAAAGCAAAAGCACAAATATTCCTAAAGCAGCCATATGTTCACTTGTTCGTATTGGTTGAAAGCCAACAAATGGAATTTGCATTGAAAACAGCAGACCCAATATATAGAACGTAGAATAGCTCGTCAAAAGCCTTTGTGAGTACCGTCCCATAATAAGTAGCACAAACACGTGGAGAGGTATTAAGTTTATAATAAAAACATATCCACCCCATGCTGACACCATGTAAAAATATGAAAGAGCTGTAGCTGCCGACCAAAACATGGAACCAGTTTTTATGGAACGGACCCATAAAAAATATGTAAACTGAAGAGCAAAAATTGCTATGCCTTCATTATCATAAGATCCGGCTACAGACCGACTTATATATCCCGGAACTATGGCTATAAAACTTGCTGCAAACAAACCTGCTCCTCGTGACCATAATTCGCTGGTAAGAAGGTATGTTGAAATTGACGTTAATCCACTAAATACTGGGGCCAAAAATACACAAATATCTCGAATGTGTATAGGTATATTCAATGAATGCAATATATAATGTATGGTACCAGAGGTTATCATTAAACCAGGATAAACAGTCCCACCAACGATCCGACCCAGAGGATACCAGGCGCGCTCATCAAACCAATTCAAAAACTTATAAAATCCATGTTGCACCATAAAAGCTGTGGAACGATAGTTGAACCAAGGATCAAATTCGTGTATAATAGATTCAAAACGTATTACAGCAAACAAACGAGATGAAAAGCCGGCAAGCCACGCAATCAAAAGAATGCTGAAAGTAATTAAACTGCTGTATCCAGCAGACTTTCGCCAAATTCCGCTCGATGACTGATTCATTCTTTCTTAAATATTTATTCGGTCAAAAGTTATTGTAATACCGAATATCCAAATTTAAGTTAACTAAATTTACACGTATTAAAATTTGTCGTGGTCCATAGATTAAGTTATAGATGGTACTCATTTATCGATATGATACCTCCTTATTTCTAGTTCACATAGGGAAATATTGTTACGATTTTTCTAAATCAACCTCGATGATTTTCTGAATCCTTCGGGTACGATCTCTGGATTGTTAAATAAAAATCGCCAACTTAATTAACTGTTTTTTTCGTTATAAAGAATTTACTAATGTCCTTTATTTACTCAGTAATTCACAATTCAATTACAATGCACTTTACTATTTACAATCACTATCATCAACTTTCACAATTTACTCAACTTAAATGTAATCTCCAACGCGTTTACTCCGCTATACTGTATGTTGACGCCAACGAGCTCACTTTGTAACTGACTTAACTTAGCAGCTAAGTGTCACCCTTACATAGCAATCGGCTGCTCGCAGACGAAAGCGTAGAAGCATGTTGTTGTTGTTGTTGTTGTAACCGCAAAATTATTCCCCAAAGTACTTTTTGGGGAATATTGCGGGAGTGACAGTCCTTGGCCGGATAAAAATCCGGGTCGTTCCGGTATAAAGACCCGACTGTCGCGGGAACCATTGGATTTTAGTCGCCTCTTACGACAGGCATGCCTTACCGCGGGTAAATTCTTGAGCCCCTAACCCGCGTAGCGTAGAAGCATCGAGTTGTNCACAATTTACTCTACTTAAATGTAATCACCAACGCGTTTACTTTACGACTTTACTGATGTTAACGCCAACGAGCTCACTTTGTAACTAACTTAACTTGGCAGCTGAGTGTCGCCCTTATATAGCAGTCGGCTGCTCGCAGATGAAAGCGTAGAAGCATCGAGTTGTTCGCTATCGAAAGTTCTTGTTTTATCGTTTCTTATCAGCTTATCTCTTTCATCTGACCTTCGCCTCGCATTTTCGCATTAATATTAATTCATCTTGTGGAGAAAATGCCAAATATGAATACTATTTTCTACTCTCAATTTTTATGTAACTAAATTTGTAACTTCAAATATTTTCATTTTCCAAAGAGTAAATGTAGAGATCTACGTTAACATTTGTAACTTGCTATTTTCAACTTTTAAATTTTTATTTTTAATTTTAACTTCAAAAATATCTTTTTTCTGAATTATTATAGTTCCCATTTTCAAACAATCAAGAAATGTTGTTGTTGTTGTTGTAGCGGTTCGCTAACCCCGTTTAGGTTCAAGTCACCGAGGTCATCTAGGGGTAGGTCCAGGAACCGTGCTGTTTCGACGGGATTAGACCAGAAAGAGCGGGGTTAGATGAGTTGGTTGAAAGGGGCATGTGAAGAGCTGGTTATTCTCGTGCAGAGACACTTCAAATGCACGGCATACGTTGGGTATGCTGCAACCTGCTTCAGTATACAGAACTAATTTGTGCCACGGTCACGCGGGACAGCTCTCTCGAGTCAGCTCGAGCTCGTTGTCCACTATGAATGGTGGTTTTTCTCTAAGCTTGCCATTCACGGGAAGGGAGTTTTTGAAGGTATTGCCAGCCTCATCAGGAGGTTTCTTGCCGTGGCAATGAGGGCAGGGTTCTGACTAGCCTATAACTTCTTCATCTGCGTCTCGCTCGTTCCCGGAGCTCTGATCAAAGCAGCATAAGTTACTACCCGCCGGCCAATCGCCTTGTAGTTTGCCAGCAAAGTTTCCTTGTCCTTACCAAAGTTACTGCTGGCTAGCGCTTTGAGTATTTTGTTTCGGCTCAGGAGTTTAGCAGTAATTGCGGTCGTATGTGGAAAAAGGAGTGCAGGCTGTCTAGTGTCACTCCCAATATCTAGTTCAAGCCTGTACTTCTTCGTCCAGCTTGTGAAGGTGGTAGCCGAGGATTTGGTCGGCTGTATTTTCAAATTCCGTGCAGTATGGAAGTGAGAAAGATCGGCAAGGTAGCAATTCACTTTTGAACAGAGGTCATCAATTTCCTGGCCAGTCGCCATTATCGTATAACCATCGGCATACGGGGTTACCATTCAGGCAGCCCGTGACCCACCTCGAATGGTAATGAGGATTCTTCAATGTCCGTTAGTAGCACTGAATGATTGACTGTGTCAAAAGCTTTTGACAGATCCAGTGCTACTAGGACAGTTGGAGCGCAGCTCTGAGCGGTTTGGGTTGAGACCATAGACTATCTGGGTGTTTATGGCGTTTGGTGCTCTTTTAGTTCTGTGCACTTTTCGGAAGCCATGCTGATGTGCTGTTGAACGCAGATGGGGAGAAAAGGTCGGGAGCAGCAAAGTCCCAAGTATCTTCGCTACTGGGGAGGGCAGAGTTATCGGTCGACAAGACTCTCCTTTGTTGGCTTGTTTGTCCGGTTTGAGTAGCGGGAACACTCTGCCCGTTTTCCACACGTCAGGTATCATTACGGTGGTCAAAGACAAGTTGAGGACCCTGATCCTCTTCCTTAGAGAAATCAACCACCGCGATAGTATTTGGCAGTTTGCGCATATGGCAGGTTACAAGTCGCTTCGTTTTGTCTACCGAAGGATACGTGCGATGTGTAAAAAGGCGGCAAAAATAGCTCGCGCGTCTCTTCGGGTTCGACGAGGCGCGATCACTGAATAAAATTTCCACTTGGTCATCGCGTCTCGTCAGGTTAGACAACGAATTGGCTGTAGCCCTGAGCTAAGTTGCCAAAGAGGAGAGATTTCAGGTCCTTAAGTGCTCCTCCCACTTGTTCTGCTTCTGATTGTTCACTACTTTGCGAATCTCCGCGCTTGATTCCCTGCTGAGAGGACTCCCGGGATTGGAGTTTCGAAGGGTGTCGCGCCTAGATGCTAAAACCGCCGCTTCAGTCCGAAAATTGGGGCTGAACTGCGCGATTCGGGCGGTAGCGGTCACGACAACCCTCCGGAAGATTTTTTTCTGAACTGTTTAATACACCATACAAATTTTCGCGAGCGATTTACAGTAAAAGTGGGTAATTCGTTCTCAATCGCCATGCGAATTAGGACCGAATCGTTGCCTTTTTTTATTCTTCTCGAAATTTTATCGAAACTAGCTGACAACAGAGAACAAAAAAGTATATTAAAGTTAATGACCGGGGCGTGCCAATTGAGACTTGTTCTAATTACGGGATTGTTAAGAGACTATTTTACCTCTAGACTAACAGAGAATGACAAATTATTTACAGAAGAATGATATTTTGAAGACAATTACTTTATTAACTTATTATTATCTTTCTCAGAAAAGTTGACAAACAGAGTCAATTTCTTATTTCTCTCGTCGATTCTGACAGTTCACACGCTGTCCGCAATCGGTCATTTTAGTTATTTGACGTTCTCTGCTTAAACCAGCGTACCATTCAAAGTTCACATGACTGCATAAATTTATTAACCATGAGCTTAAGCGTTTTTTTATATTGAGTTTGCTCATTACTTAGAGCTGGATATTGGCCTTAAAGCAAAATGTTATTTATTAAGTAATAAATAAAAATATATTGAAATCATTACAATTAACGAATTAGGCAACATTTGTTGACATTTAAGTAACAATCCAGTGATTGAACTATATTTGCTAAACCAAAAGTGCGAAAATTGTATCTTAGCCTGATCTGATTGTAAATATTTTAAACAATTATATCCTTTTGAGAACAATACACGCTCTTCACCTGCTTTTAATAGGTAGGTATCACTCAGGTGTCCGGACTATCATGAGCCTTCCACGATTATCCCAATGGGATGGAATCCGGGCAGGCAGCGGTATCGTCTGCTTTCCTGCACCGCCAAAGCGAGCACCTATGAGCCGTCTCCATTCTGCAGAAGTTTGGTCTTCATATGATAGTGACCAGCTCCAAACTGGACGCTGAAGAAGAGAGCTGATCTCTTCCACCCATGGATTAAAAAAATGAAACGGAATATTAATCGGTAAGTAACACGAAGACTTCCCCTTCCGGAGTGACGCCGCGGAGGAATAACGGGAGTCTAAGCCCTTTACCAGTCTCTGGAGGCTATCGAAAAATTTTGGGCTTAGCCCCCACTAGAGCCTTCAGAAGCCCTACCCCATACATTCAAAGCCGAGGACGTATATCCAGTAATAGTACCTTCGCTCATGATGCTGAGATCACCACCTCGTTCGGTCCACTTTAACCCCCTTCTTTCCCTAGATGGGCTTGGGACCGTGTACATCGACTACACTTCCGACATGCATGAATAAAGCAAATCAAAACAAACATTTAAAATTGAAAATAACACGAACTTGATAGTAAGGTGAAGAGTTGGGCAAGGAAGGTTGCAGCTATTTGCTGCAGTTTCACAAATAAAAGAATGACTAAAATGCTGAGAATATTTCACAAAAGTTGAGAGAACAGGATAACCTATTTTCACAGATTTTGGACGGAAAACTAATGGCACAGAGGGAGCAGATACTATCCTGAGGAGCGAGTATTGGAAAATTTCATCATTTAAATCATTTAAAATCTTCTAAGAATACTCCTAGTCACCTACCTGTAATTAGAAAAAGGAGTGTCAGTAAATGACTGTTGTCCTATTGTTGGCATTACTACAAGCCCAAAGAGACCCTGCAAGAGTTTGCTTCGGAAATTAAGCGACTGCCTTCATGGCCTATACAATACCTTGAAAGAATAAAAATCCAGAGGATCGACAGCTGAATAAACAATAAGTCGGAAAAAATGCCCCATTGCAGCTAGTTGCTGTTACACCAATGGAAGTTAGCAAAGTGTCGAGTAAAAGTTAATCAAAATAAGAGCACTGATATCTCAACAATTTGCCTATCCCAAAAGCTAACGAAACCACATATCTTGGCATTCACGTAGATAGACGATTAACTTTCGAAGAGAATAAAAGACGATTAAAAATGGGGTTTAAGCAAGAAGTGTAGATTCAAAACAACTTTAAAACAAAGTACTTCTTTATAATGCGACTATAAGACCAATATGAATATGAAATCACAATTTGCGCGTGGAACATATATATGGTACAATGATATTAATCGAAAACATTAAGAATCATAACGGGCGCATCATGGTATATGTAAAGAAAATATCCATAGAGATATAATTATTCCCACCGACAAAGAAGATTT